CAAAACTCCACGTAATCCCAAGGGGTTCACATACTTTTTCTTGCAACTGTAGATTATCAGAAATTGAATGATGACCAACCTCAATTCTGACTACAGATTTCCTATGGGTCAAACCCTTTAGGTCTCATGAAAACAGAGCATCTGTTAGGCCCTATGAACACCAGAACACACCTGGCAGGAGAAAAGCTGCTTATAAAATGTGCAGAAAGCCATGTACTGCACCCACGTTTAAGCTAGGCAACTATTTGAGCATTAATGAATTCCATTGGCCAATATTAATTTATTCTGGCCATTGGAATGCATTAATTTATTTTTTTTATTTTATTTATTTCAGGTATTTAATAATTTTATGCAGCACTTTACATATGTATTGCACATTCACATCAGTCCCTAACCCTCAAGGGCTGTACAATCTAAGGTCCCTAACTCACATTCATACATACACATACTAGGGCCAATTTATACAGGGGCCAATTCACCTACCAGCATGTCTTTGAGGAAACCAGAGTACCCGGAGGAAACCCACGCAGGCACAGGGAGAACATGCAAACTCCAGGCCAGCCACTGTGCTGCCCAGATGCTCAAAACGTTCAAGCATGTCTGTGTTGCTAGCATGCTTAGACCTGTTTGAGGGTGCCTTTGGTGTTTTTTTTTTAAGTCTGTAAATGCTCGTCTTCTAATACACCTGTAGTTGCCTATGTGTGCATGGAACCATAGGCTTCCATACATTAGGTACTTTTACAGGCTTAGAAAAAGTAAAGTCCAGTGTGTATGAGACCTTAATTTGTAAATTAATATTAAATTAAATATGTCCTCCTACTTCAAAATCCATAATGGTCACTAAAACATGAAGAAAGTTCTGTCATATTCTGCTAATCCAGACTTTGGAAAATAGATACAGACAAAGCTCTGTGGCATCAACATTTTTTGGGTAACAACTGGTAGCTATATTTTTTTACTAGGTTCCCCAACAAATGAGAACAGTCATCTGATCCAGCTGTTTTCACCTGGTGGGAGCCTTTGAGTGCCTGGACAGTGGATGTCCATCTCCAGTGGAAACAAGAAGTTGGTCAATTTTGGAAACCCAACTCAGACTACTATTAAACTGCTGCCAGCAGTATCTTCATCCCCTCCCCACTCCTTCATTCTCCACTGAGCGTGAAAATAGTGGGCTTTTTCCTGCACATAAAATTACGTGGGCAGTTTTAAAGTCCACAGAAACAACATTCAAAATTCAAATGTCCTCTCATGCAAAGGACATTTTTTGTGTTATCTTAAGTGGCAATATATCACAATAATGTTTTTGTTTTATTTGAAAATAAAGTAATTCAAGTGGTTCTAAAGGCAGAAGATGTTTTACCTTAATGCATTATATTAATTAAGGAAAAATACCTTCTAGGTTCAGCTCCCCCCCAGCCGCCCCTTGTACTTAGCTGAGCCCCATCTCAATCCAGCGATGTGCATGAGAGCAGTGGCTCTCCCGGGTCTCTCTCTCCTCATTGACTCACACAGCAGCAGAAGCCATTGGCTCCTGCTGCTGTCAATCACAGCCAGTGAGCCAATAGGAGAGCAAGGACAGGGCTGAGACATGCTCTGTGTGCGAATGGACACAATCTTTAGAATCACTTTAAAACCTACACTTTTATCCCAGCCCAATCAAAATAAAGCTTTTGTTGATTTTTTAAGTGAACAAAGATATATGAAAAACTCTTTTTTTCCTACCAGTTCTAAAACACAGTTTCTTTTTATCTGTTGAATTTCAGAGTGGAAAAAGTAAAACATACTGATATACTGATATTGTTGCATTTGGTAGAGTTTGGGTCACCTTCCAATTGATCTGATAGTGTTATTTTTTGGAAAGGTCCCAGAAATTAAAAGATAAGTTCACCTTCAGGAACATGTTACATGTCATACCTGTATTTAAGGTGTAACATGTTCCTCCACTTGACTTATTCTCCTCCTGATCTCTTTTGTCAAACAGCGGATGGGGGATCCTCTGCCCCACAGCCACTGTCACATTTAAAATTGGTGTAGCTCCACCCGCACAGCTGCGTAATTTATTCACAGGGATCTGTGAACGCGGGTAAATGACAATGATCATCAGCCACCACAGCAGAAGGACTTGCAGTGTTCAATGGGCTACAAACACGCTGAGTAGTGTACTTGTAGTCCAATTAATCTTTCTTCAGCTTTCTGACAGAAATCCCTATGGATGTATGGGTAAAAAGCTGGAGGGAGAGTGTGCAGGAGGTTGACATTGCACCTGCCATCTGCTGATCGCAGATGCAATGCTTTACAAGCTTCTGTAAGAAGAGGTAAAAAATGTACATTTTTTTCTGCAAAATATATAGGTCAAAATGTATTCTGCTACATGTTTTTGCTAAAAAAAAATCCCAATACATGTAAATGAATTGGTTTACATGAAAGTGTTTACAAATTACAGTATATACTGTATACTGGGATTTTTAAAAAGAAAATAATAACTAGTAATAGTGGCGATCAGCGACTTATAGTGGGACTGTGGTGGGCTTTCTGACACTGGGGGGAACTGACTTGGTGTCACTGACATCCCCAGTAACACCAATACATTGATCAGTGCCAATAAAAAGCACTGACACTGTACTAATGGAACTGGGCAGTATGGGTCAACATGTGGGGCGATCAAAGGGTTAACTGTGTGCTGTGCACTGTTTGTAACTGTGTGGCTGTGTTTGTGCTTCACTGTAAGCACTCTGCTTTGTATGGCTCTGCTATGCACAGCCATGCAAAGCAGCTTGCAGGAGCTGACAGGGGAGAGAACTACTTTGTTTACAAACAGTTCTCTCCGACATCGGAGATGCTCGGCAATCATGGGCACCGGCGAGTAATCACCAGCAGGGACCTGGTGATTGACAGCTGAAGCTGCGAATGGCGGAGTGGGTAGGGTTCGCATAAGCTTCCCAGAAATGCAAAATCACGTATATATACATGATTTTGCGAACCCCTGCCGCCCTGTAGCAGTACTTCTGCTATAGGGCAGACGGTAAGCAGTTAACTGACCTGTTAGACCTTAGGTCATGTCAAGTGAAAAATTCCAGAATTTAATATACTTAGAAAAATTTTTAAGTATACCCCCATCCCCCACCCCATGCATAGTACTGAATATTCATCCTGTTTTTCATGAATCAGTTTTTATCTCTACCTGACATGGCTTTTTATCCTCCTGTACTCAATGGACATCCCATGGAACCTCACATTTATAGCCAGTGAGAAACTTGTTTTAAAGTCGAATTTTAGGCCAAAAATAAAAAAAGGGCCAACAGGCAGGAACTTTAATGCAGAAGAGACCAGCTGGGTAGGGAGCACCGGGACACTGCATCACTGGAGCCAAGGTGATTATAGTTCTACTTTAAGAAGTTATAACCCATGTAACAATATTGGTAACTAGGGGCGTACTGACAACTCATGGGGCCCCCGGGCAATAGGGGATCATGGGGCCCCTGTGTCCTTGCCCAAACTCAAAAAAGCTTATGAAAAAGGTACCAGGGGCATCTCATGGGGCCCCCTACTGACCCCGGGCCCTCGGGTAGTGCTCGAGTTTGCACATGATCAGTCCGCCCCTGTTGGCAACTTTAAATTTATATACAATATTTGACAACACAAGGTAATTGTGACAGAGCCAGGCACTGCTACAGTGAAAAGGGAAGTAGGTATGACACAAGTTTTGTACATGTGCAATATTGATTCTGAATGGAGAAAGGTGGTTTTTCCACTTTCTCCAGATTTTGGTAATCCCAGATTGGGTTAGAGCTTGGAGATTTTGAAGAATTTGGGAGGGGAGAACAAATATTTCTACACAGATAACGAACACACACCGCACAGTAAGGAACATTCCATGTACGTTCTGTTTGGCTATAACCTTCAAATGAGCCAAACAATATAAAATAAGAGTAATGGTTTGCCATCCCGATCTGAAGACAAAAATGAATGCTACTATTTTTTAGTCCTTGCATGTCAGTATACGTTTCTGTAAATATATGTAACCAGAATTGCTGTTACTGAACTATGCAGGCTTTTCTTTTTCAATCGTTTTTTTCTTTACAAAAAGAAGGAACAAGACATAACAAGTACATCGATGTTTGGATTGCATTATTCACAAAGATTCATGCAAAAAAAGAAAGGCACATATGGATAGCCAGATACATATTTCTACTCTCCCAGGGGGTGAACCCAGAGGTAGGCAGAGAATTGCAGCAATAATTGGAGCTCTAAGAGCACATAATAAAGATTAACTCTGGAGGCTTTTTAATGCATTTTTATTGTTAAAGAATATGTAAACCCAATATTTAATGTTCCTGATATGTGCCTACAGTACCATGTACTTGTATGAAAAAGTTAAAAAGGCTCCTGTTCTTTTTGTATTGCTTGCCTTGTTTGAAATCCCTGGTGTTCCTGCCAGTCCCTCTACTTTCCTATTAAAAACTGATCACAGTAGGCAGGAGAGCAAATCACAGTTCTATAGCTGTGCTGGGAACTCAACCTGCTCTCCTCTAATTATCAAACTTGTACTGACACCCCGCTTCCCCTGCACAGTCATTCCCTGGGAAAACCAGTATGCTATATTTCTCTTCCCTCTCCTCTCTATGCAGCTGAGAACAGAGGGTATGTGATCACTTATAAAAAGGAGGAAAAAAGGTATTTATAATGTTTTTAGTTACATATTCTCATCACAAGATAGCGCTTATTTGGATACTAGGCTCGTGGTTGCATTACCACTTCCCGTCCGGCCGTCTATATATATGGGCCGGACGGGAGCAGTGCAGGAGCGGGTTGCCGTTCATAAATGGTGCCAGGGGTGGACTGACCATTTGGAAACTGCCCGAGGGCCCGGGGTCAGTAGGGGGCCCCATGAGATGCCCCTGGTACCTTTTACATAGGCTTTTTTGAGTTTGGGCAAGGAAACAGGGGCCCCATGATCCCCTATTGCCTGGGGCCCCATGAATGTCAGTCCGCCCCTGAATGGCGCCCACCATTTTAGCCTGTGCGCGCTCCCTGGGAGCACACGGCACCGCGATCCAGTGTCTGATGTGTCCAGAGGACACAGCAGAACACCGATCGCTGTACAAGACCTCTATGTGAGGTCCCGATCATGTGAACACTGGCCAATCAGTGATCACATGAATAGTAGTACGCAAGATGTCACTTCTGACATCATTGCTTACTAAGTGTGAAATCTGTGAATGATCACAGAGATCACATGGTACAAGGCTATTCACAACAACCTTGTACCATGTGAAAGCTGTGACCAATCACAGCTCTTACAGTATTGCTCAATGGCTACAAGTATGCAGGCAGAGAGAAGAAAACATTATTGTTTTTACAGCTTTTATGGGTGTAAAAGCAATCAGTGTAAGAAAAAAAAAATCTTCTACAAGTAGTAAAGCATCACTATGGTGACACTGTACTGCTAGGGTGACAGTATGTTAAAAAAACCCCCATAAATAATAATATAAAAAAATAAAATAAAAATGTAAAAAAAATTAGCAAAATTAAAGTGTGTGGTTATAAACTAATTTGGGTTATCTTTTTTTTTTATTAAAAAGATAACGGAATACATTTTGGTGAAGATTTATGAAGAAAGATTATTTATTTGCAAAATGTTATAGGTAAAACACTTTTTTTCAAAATGTTTTTTTTTCATTTATATAGCAAAATAATAAAAATCCCAGTGGTGAATAAATAGCACCAAAATAAAGTTTTATCTCTCTCAAAAAATGCTAAAAAATGCAAATGGGTAAAGTTCTGCATGACCGCGCAATTCAAAGTGTCATAGCACTGGAAGCTGAAAATTGGCCTGGACAGGAAGGGGGGTAAAAGTGTCCGGACTTGAAGTGGTTAAGCATGGAGGGCTGAACACTGGGCTAGGAGCGGTGCCAGTACCTTTTTCAGGAAAAATAAACTACAGGATCCAGTGTGCCTGGAATCAGGGGGAACCAGATAGAGAGGAAAGCCTGGGAAAGAACGGGCAGTTGGGAAATTGCCTCCATTTTGTATTGAGGTGTAGAGCCTTTCAGTGAGAATGAGAGCACTTAGGAGATAGAATAGTGACTATGTGCTGCATTGGACGCTTGACCTGCCAGTTCCAGTGGTCTGGATCAGCTGCAGACCACTGGACTGAGACAATTAGGTTGCAGCTAGCTGCCGTAGACAAGTTCTGCGCCGAGACCTGTTACCCACACTGCTGGAGATCCAGAGAATAGAGTCCAGGTTGGTTGCTTGCTACCAGGGCTCATCCAGAGACTGCTGCTGTGCCACAGGAGTCATAATTCATCCAGTTACTATGGGAAGCCCCCTAGAATCTACATAATCTTAAAGGGGGACCCCTCCATTGGAAGAAAGTCAGCTACTACAGATACACTTGAGCAAGCGACATTGACCCATTTGTGACCTTTTTTCTAACTTTGTGCATGTCTGTTAAGAAGATTTATTGCTCTATACCGCTACTGTTGCTCTTCATCTGCTAGCTATTGAGCACCATTAGCCCTGTTCGCCAGAATATATACCATATGCATACACTACAGTACGTTAACTCCTTTGTTGGCCCCACCCACTTCAGTGCTGCAAGGAACCTATAGTTTCTTAAGATTGTTACACCGAGTAAAAAAAATACTCTACGTCTTTAAGCATGACAACGTCTCTAAGGGCCCCAACATAGCTGGCAGAAGACGAAGTTTATGGACTGTGGGTTGGCTTTCTCAGCTCATATAGTGAAAAGAGCTGCAGTTTACATTGGTCTGAGTTGCGTTTTTTGTGTGGTTTAACTGCTTACTGACCATCCCATGCAGATATACTGCTGCAGGGCGTCTGATCTGTACTGGATCACGTATCTGGTACACAATCAGTGCTTCTGGGTTTTTTTTCAAAATTTTCTGTCTTTTTTTCATTTATATAATAAAAACTAAAAAACTTAGTGGCGATCAAATACCACCTAAAAAAATCTCTATTTGTGTGAATAAATGATATACATTTTATTTGGGTACAATATTGCATGACTGCGCAGTTACCAGTTTAGTGCAGTGTTGAATAGCAAAAAATGGACTGGCCAGGAAGGGGGTGAAATCTTTCAGAGGTCACGTCGTTAAAGTAATCCCTCAGCATATTGTTCATTCTGCTGTCATACCTTGTTTACATTATAACTACTTAACAATACTGTATACTTTGTTATTTTGCTGCAAGGTCTCAAATCTCATTTCATGGTGACCCTAGTGCCCTGTACACACGATAAGAAAATTGTAGGAAAAGGTTCATACGAGGACCGATCGTTCGATAATCAGATCGTTAGAACACAGCTTTCGAGAGCCGATCACAACAATTCGTGCGACAATATCTTAAGGGACAAGCAAAAAAATTGTTCTCGTACAATACCAGATCGTACGATTTTCATTCATTCAGTACAGTAGTCATCCGAAAATACCATACAAATACATGACATCACTTTCCAAATTCTTTTTTTTCATACAAGACTTTTTGTATCTTTAGTAACCTTTTCACTTTCGATGTGAGACTAGCAGGTGAAAAAAAAAACAATGATCGTTCATCCGATATTCTCATCGTGTGTACAGGGCTTAAGGTATTAGCAAACATAACTAATTTGTCTCTAGTAATGTGTATATCCAAGGTGTCGGTGATATACACATTACTAGAGACAAATACACAACTAGACTGTAATATAGTTCCTCTGCAAATCTGCCTAGATAATCAGAAGCAGAAACATGACCAACCCGTTCTGTCTTCCGCCTGGTTCACACCTGTGCATTTTTTAGTGCTTGTTGGATTTTGCAGAAACACACTACAGTCCATTTAACATGGTTTCCTATAAGGACATGTTCACATCTATGTGTTTGCAGCAGCTGCATAGGTGAGAACCAGGCCTTACAGATACTTGTAGGCCAAACCTTTTATTGGGTCCTCTTTCCATTTGGCTGCTCAGGCAGAATGCCTGCTCCTGATTGCTGTGATTAACCAACTTCAAAATCCAAATTGGTGAGTTGCAATGAAAAAAAAAAGAAAGTTCTGGAACATTCTGCTAATGCAGCCTTTTGGAAAAGTGATAGAGACAAAACAACCTAGGGCATCAACATTTTTGGGTACCCATTTTTCTGTCCTTTGTTTCCCCTGAAAATGAGAGGAGAGACATTTGATCCAACTGTTTTTGCCTGATGAGCTTGACTGCTATGGCTGCCGGATGCCCATTTACAGTGGAAACAAGCAAGTGAAGTCAACTGAAAGCGATTCCAAAGCTCTATATACACAAACATTTTGAACTTAACTGCCCCCTCACACTCCTCATGGAATATACACTCACCAGGCCACTTTATTAGGTACACCTTGCTAGTGCCAAGAAAATATCCCCCACATGATTACACCACCACCACAAGCCTGAACCATTGATACAAGGCAGGATGGATCCAAGCTTTCATGCTGTTTACACCAAATTCTGACACTACCATCTGAATGTCGAAGCTGAAATCGAATGCCCATTCTCCTCTAACCTCTGACATCAACAAGGCATTTTCATCCACACAACTGCCTCTCACTGGATATTTTCTCTTTCTCGAACTATTCTCTTTAAACCCTAGAGATGGTTGTGCGCAGGGGCGACTGACCATTCGAGCACTCGGCACTGCCCGAGGGCCTGGAGTCAGTAGGGGGCCCCATAAGATGCCCCTGGTACCTTTTTTATAGGCTTTTTTGAGTGTGGCAAGGACACAGGGGCCCCATGATCCCCTATTGCCCGGAAGCCCCATGAGTTGTCAGTCCGCCCCTGGTTGTGCGTGAAAATCCCAGCAGATCAGCAGTATTTGAAATACTCAGACCAGCCCGTCTGGCACCAACAACCGCGTCACATTCAAAGCCACATAAATCCCCTTTCTTCCCCATTCTGATGCTCGGTTTGAACTGCAGCAAGTCATCTTCACCACGTCTAGATGCCTAAAAGCATTGAGTTACTTCCATGTGATTGGATGATTAGCAATTTGTGTTACCAAGCAATTGAACAGGTGTACCTAATAAAGAGGCCGGTGAGTGTATACCATCCACAGCAGACTTCACTTTAGATTAGTGAGTGACCTATACCAAGTGTTGCAGCCTATGCCAGGCAGCACTCACATCCTACACTGACTTGGCGGGCTTTGTAATATTGTGCCTGTTTGCCTTTCCTGTATAGGTATTAATGGAGAATCCAGCTACTTACAAGACTGTCCAAGCACCCTTGGAAGTTACAATAGGGCTTGCAAGGGTAATGCAAAGGCACAAGTGCCTAGGTGCAAGAACCAGTGACTGAAACTTGGAAATGCCGGTATCAGGTGTGCAGAAATACAGCTGGTAAAGCACTAAGTTCAAACTTGGTTAAAGTCAGGTCACAAGCTGGGTTGATAACTGAAAAGTAGTGAAGCATCAAATTGTAAGCAGAATTAAGGCCCCATTCACACCTGAGCTTTTTGTAGCTCAAAGCTTCAAAAAGCTCAAGGAGAAAAAAATCAGTATTACTTTATGGCGATGGTTCACATCTCCACTCCAAGTCGCCTGAAGCAGAACGCCTGAAGCTCAAAAAAATTTTGGAGCTACTTTTGTAGCTCCATTCAGGCAGATTGCTGCATTTTTGGCACATTTGTATTCCCATAGAAATACATGAAATGCGCAAATTGTGCGTTTTCATGTGCTTTTGCGTATTTTGTCATGCGACCAAGAGTATTTCTCTGGCATGGCAACAATTGTCACAAATGAAATTTTCTCTATTTGCAAATACAAAAATGACACAGCTCAAAAAACCTGAAAACGCCTAAACAAATCACACACAAATATTTGCAAATGCACAAAAAAATGCAGAAAAAATGCTACGCTCAAAATAGAGCCTTAGGCTGGGGACAAGCAAAGGTCAGCAATGTGCAGACAGTAAAGTGAGCAAAATCTTGGTCAGATTAGGTTGGTAATGATGGTAGTTAGCAATCATTGGCAGAAAGGAAACATCTAAGAGCAGGTCAAGACAGTAGCCAGGTCAGTAATGAAGATC